AGGGAGAGGCCAGGGTAGCCGGTGTAAGCAGTTTAGCTTAGCGTCGCTGGAGGACAGGGACGCTTTCTTGTCTCGGCCCTCGTTTTGTGTTACGCAGGTACGAGATGGAGATGAATGGTGAGAGGAAGGAGGAGGATGGGGCTTTTTTCCTTTTTTCCTTTTTTCCCTTTCTTTTTCCCTTTCTTTCTCCTTCCTCCCTCCCCGTTCACACACACGGTGACACCGTGATTCACGATCGAGACAATCGATTATGAGAAGGGTAGAGGCGCACGAAAAGAAAAAAAGGAGAGAGAGCGCGAGAGGAGCAGGCTTCCATTGTATTCGCGCGGCTATCTCAATAGCATTGTTCCAAAGGAACAATTCCCCTATTCTTTTCGCTTCGATTCCGCGTCATGGTGCAGAATAGAGCACGGTATTGCAGGCTCGCGAAGCCAGCTTCCCCTAAACTTGATCACAGTATCCTTCCTCTCCCTCTCACACTCGCTCGCTCATCCCTCCCATCACGCTCCACTCAATCGATCAATCGGTCAATTCCTATCCCATGCCCGAGTTACCTGTACGGTACTCGAGTACGGTACCAGACCCATCCCTCCCTGGGCATGCTCCGTCCCCCTTGTCAATGATACGGTTTCCAATCTTCCTCCCCCACCAGCAAAATCCTCGATTCGACTCGGTACATACGAGTACGTTACCATCATGCCTACCCACGCATACAAACCGGTACGGCACTCTACCTGAGCTCTCACCCCTTCCACCTTCCACTCGCACCCGCCCGTCGAAGAGAAGGGCGTATTTCGCGAAAACCCTCTACACACCCTTTTTTTTTTTCCCGTTTCAAAAGGATGCACCCACACCTTATTGAAAAAACCACTCACCTGACCAAAAACTCATGCATGCAGCCCGCGAATCCCCGTTTCCGGAGAAATAAATGCTCGCCCGTACATAACTTACCGCAGCTAGCTACCGCAGCCTATCATATCACGGGGAAAGGAGGAGGAGGGAGGGGAGGGGGAGTGAGAGAGGGAACCATATCACAATAGACGGTCCCTAGAGAATGGCAAAACAGGAAAATCGGAGGAGGAGGAAGAAAAAAAAAAGAAGAGTGAGAGTGAGAGATCAGAAACATAACTAACACTCGTGATTGCCGAGTATGATGGTTGGGCTTATTCGTTGAAGGCCAGATCCCGCTAAGTGAATACAACAGACAAACGGCCGAGCGAGCGAGTGGGAGTGTGCGGTGCAATGCTATAGCTTGCAATCTACGCTATCTAACTCGCGAACAATCTGTCGATCAATCGTCAAATAATAACCTCCCACTCGACGATAAATAGACTAGCCTCACATTTCATACCCACCTACCATGACGCCCCACCCATCCAACGCCCATCCAGGCAGAAGAAATATAGTGTTAAAAATACATATATGTATATATAAAAAAAAAGATTCCAATTGAATCCCTACGAATCCGATATCCGCGCCCAAACAGGACTGCCGTTGGTGCAGTGCGGCGGGCGGATAGATTACGATACCAACTAGACCAGCCCACGATACGGCAGACCAGCCCCAGTTCCCCATCATGATTCGCGCAGCGGTGCGAACAAACCCGCAGGGATCAATTGCGATTATGGACATACGGTACCGTGCGAGTACACATACCAGCTCTACAGGCGAGCGCGAGCGAGCGAGGAAGGGAAGGGGAGGAAGGGAAAGGAAGGGAAGGGAAGGGAAGGGAAGAGAAGGGAAGAGGCATATGGTACCATACCTCCGCTCCGCTCTCTCTCTCTGCCTCCGGCCAATTCCATTCCGCCCACCCATGATTCTGCACAATGGCGATGCAGAGAGCACGGTGCAAGTACTGTAGGCGGATCACAGTACCACAATACAATCTATTGAGGAGAAAGGAAAGGGAGGGTGAAAAGAAAAAGAAAAAGACCAAAACGGTTACTAGAAATCATCAGGCTTCCCACCCTACTGCAGAACTGTACCGGTACCTCCTAGAGAGGAAGAGCGAGCAGAGTAAGTAAGCAGGACCGGTGAGCATTGGATTTTCTTACCGTACTTTCTTACTCTGGCCTCGTTCACGCATTCCCACTAGCAGGCTGCAAGTATCATACTGTAGCGAATGAGCCATCAATCCAGGCACGGCACGTGGAAACCCTCCCACCCTCCTGCTCCGAAAGGGAAAAGGAAAAAGAAAAGGAGAAGGGAAAAAAAAAGCAAGACTCCTGCAAAAGGACCATCCATCCAGAACTTGTGCAACTCAACCGCGCGCCAGTGCTACCACCTTACCTTATCCCTACCGGTTCCCCTCCCACCACCCCATCCGCCCAATCAATCTGGCCAAACCAAACAATAACATTATCCACCCCACCACCACCATCCGACCAACCGACCACTCACAATACTCTTGTCCCCCTCCCTCCCCCTCTTCATGTACCCTGTCCGAAAGGGGACGAATTGGAGGAGAAGTGGGAGGAGGAGGAGGAGGAGGAGGAGGGAAAGAAGAAAAGAAAGGAAGGAAGAAAAAGAAAGTCACAAACGGGTTTAACCGGCTGATCAGATCTGCACCACACACACCACCAACCCCTTAAACCTAACAAGAAACTCGCTTACTGTGCCATGTGGCTCGTCGAGGCTTTGAACTCGCTTGCTCTCGGTTCGGTTCGTTCGGACCAATTGGACTGGTCGTTTCAGCCCTGTCGGCCTGTCCG